ATAGGCTGAGTGCAGTGGCTCACACCTATAATCCCAGCATTTTAGGAGGCTGAGGCGGGCAGATGGCTTAAGCTCAGGAGTTCAAGACCACCTGGGCAACATAGTGATACCCCATCTCTATTAAAAATGAAAATGACCATTTAATAAAAGAAAGTAAATAACGCTTCATAGTGAAGTACTATACATCAGGGATAATGAATGATCTACTACAACTCTACACAACAATATAGTCACAGCAATATTGTAAATCTCACAAACATAAGGTTAATCAAAAGAAGCCAAACACAAACTACATATTGTATGATTATATTTATAGTAAGTACAAAGATAGGCATAAAAGGTTTTTTCAAAAGTAAATGAAGTTTGATAACTAATTTCTGCCAGCATAAGAACTAACATAATGTAGGGAGTAATAGGTTGTCCTTCTAATTTGAAAACTGACTAGTAGGTGATCAGGCTCATTCTTTTTTTTGCCATTTGACAAGCCCTTGTTTTTAAATATTTAGAAGGAGAATATGAAGAAATATAAAGGGTTTATTAACTGCCAGACAATATGTATTTTATTTACATTATCTCATTAATCCTTTCAGCAGTCCTCTGAGGTGTGTATCATCTCCCCTACTTTCTAAATGAAAAATCTGAGAAAACTGAAAGCTTAAAAAATTTGCCCAAAGAAATATACAGTCAGCCCTCCACATCCGTGAGTTCCATATACGTGTATTCAACTAACCTTGAATCGAAAATACTCAGGAAAAAATTTTAGAGTTCCAAAAAACAAAACTTGAATTTGCTTCACACTACATTGAATCCTCATGAGTGAAGTGACATGTTGGCATTATATTAAGTATTATATAAGTAATCTAAAGATGATTTAAAGTATACAGGAGGACCTGTGTAGTGCAAATACTGTGCCATTTTATATAAGGGACTTCAGTGTCCGCAGATTTTTATATCCATGGATTTTGGTGTCTGCAGGAGGTCCTGAAACCAATCTCCGTGGTGATAGAGGGACAACTATAGTAGTTAAGTGGTAAATGAGATTTGAATTTAGACTTATATTACTCCAAAGCCTATGATCTACCTCCCCAAACACAGGAGATAGGTAAAAGGATTGAGAACAATCTGGTTAATTCCATTATTTGGTAATGGGAAGTGACAGGAAGAATTCCTGTACTCTAGGGTAGGGGTCACAAGCTTTTTCTGTAAAGGGACAGATAGTAAACATTTTAGGACTTTAGGCCATATAGTCTCTGTCACAAGTACTCAACTCTGCCGTAACAGTGCAAAAGTAGTCATAGATGATATGTAAATACATAAGCATGGGTATGTCCCAATAAAACTTTGTTTATGGATACTGAAATTTGAAATTTATATAATTTTCATGTGTCATAAAGTAATATTCTTCCTTTGACTTTTTTAATGTTAAAAACTAAAATTATTCCTAGCTTGTGGACCATACAGGGCTAGATTTGCCCTGCAGGCTATCATTAGGTGACGATGGCTGTAGTCTATTGCTCGGAAGGCTGCACACTGCTACTCAATATGTCAACATGCAAAGACAAAATCTACAATCTACAAAGACAATTAAAAAGATCAACATTAAGGCATACTTTATATACAGGAGAAATAATTATATACAGTAAAGTACACCCATGCTGACATATGCATATACCCATATAACAACTACCATAATCAACATATAGAATATTACCTTTGCCTCCAAAAGGTTCTCTCATGCTCCTTTGCAGTCAGTTACCCTCCATGCCAGGCACTAGGCAACCACTGGTTTCTCCTCTGTCACTATAAATTATATTTCCATTTTCTAGAATTTTATATAATGAATCTAAGTATGTACTCTTTGTTTTCTCCTTTTACTTAATATTTTTGAAACTTATCCATATTGTTACATGTATTAGTATTTTACTTCTGTTTATTGCTGAGTAGTAGTCCATGGTATCAATAAATCACAACTGGTTTCTCCATTTACCTGTGAATGAACTGTTGGTTTGTTTCCAGTAGGGGCTATTATGGATGAAGTGGCTATGAATATTCATGTACACATTTTTGTGCAGATATGTTTTCATTTCTCTTGGGTAAATACATATAGTAGAATTTCTGGGTCTTATGGAAAGTAAATGTTTAACTTTATAAGAAACTGCCAAGATGTTTTCCAAAATGATTATACCTATTCTGCATTCCCACTAGTATGAGAGTTCTAGTTGCTCCACATTTTTGCCATCACCTAGTATTGTCAGGCTTTCTATTAATACCTTTAGCCATTGTGGTGGCGGTAAGGTGGTATCATGGTGATCCCAATTTGCATTTACCTGATGACTGATGATATTGACTATATTTTTATGGGTTTATTAATGATTCATGTTTTCTTATGCTCATTTTTTAAAAAATTAAGTTGACTTATGGAGTTATAAGAGTTCTTAATATATTATGGATGCTACTTTTTTTGTTATATGTCTTGGAAATATTTTCTCATAGTTTATGAATTGCCTTTTGATTTTCATTTTTAAAAGTTTTATTGTGTATTTTTGAGGTTTACAATATGATATTGAAACAGGAAAAGTTCCTTGTCCCCCTCACAGTACATGCAATGGGGGTGTGGCTTGCTTCTTCTGTACCCTGCTGCTCAAACCTCTAGGGGAGCATGCAGATGGGCAGGCTGTGGGGCTCCAACCCCACAGCAGTGTCTAGTGGTGAAGGTTTACAGCTGAAGCCCCAGTGGGCGTGTGTTATAGGGTGCTCTTTTAGTTTAGCCATCCATAGATGGCTTATGTTAGCTCAATTAGACTCCTGCCTTGTCACAAGGACAGAGAGCTTTCTGTATACTGGGGTTCTTTCCTTGGTCTACAAGAAGAATCGGATCACATGTGGGCTTAGAGAATGAGTGCAAGGTTTTATTGAGTAGAAGTAGCTTTCAGCAGATGGGGGAGCCAGAAGGGAGATGGTATTCCTCTGGAGCCGGGCTACTCGGTGGCCTGGGCTCTCCTCAAACTGCCCCAGCCAAACCCCACATTGTTCTGCCTGTCGGTGCCCTGCCAGCTTGCTGGTGCCTGTTGGTGCGTTCCTCCCAACGTTCAGCCGCCCGTATGTTCCTGTGCTGATGTGCTCCTCTTGACGTCCAGCTGCTTATATGTCTGCTTGCTAGCGTCTCAGAGTTTTATAGGCACAGGATGGTACGTTGCAGCCAGGGTGGTCTTGGGAAATGCAACGTTTGTGCAGGAAAACAAAAATGCCTGTCTTCACCTAGGTCCGTGGGCACAGGCCTGGGGGTGAAGCCCTAGCCAGAGACTATGCCTTGCTCTACACAGCACTTCCCTTCCCCACTTTCCTATCACTTAAAGGGACCATGCCCTTCCCAGTACTTCTGTATCATTTCCCCTCTCTGATGTGGTAGGTACATCTTACTACCTTTAGAATATGAATGGTGATTGGTATTACCTGCTTCCTGCCAACAGGGGGCATTGTTTTGGGAGAAAACAGCAGTCAGATTCCTCCCAGTCTAAGGGTTCCTACCAAAGGGGGAGCCATTGCTTGAGGCTCCAGTTACCTGACCATTTGGAGTTTGATGGCTTGTAGGCATGAGAGGAAAAAAACAAGTTTTATCAGGTTAAGTATGGATGGCTTAAATGTGTATTATACAAAAGAATTTAGTCCCAAAGATTATAGCAATAAGAAGTGAAATACACAAACAACAACATTGTACCCCAAGCCTTTTCACCCTGGTGAAAGAAATTAAATCTTGTATGGGAGTGGATAAACTTTTAGAATGAGAGATAACTTCCTGCCATATCTTTAGCAGTTAACAGGTGCACCCTTGGGAATTCTGGGGTTTGTAGGCTTGCCTGGGGGCCATTAAAGCTTCTTTCTCTTTCCTGTATTTCCTCTCCCTTTGTTGGGCATCCCTGCCTCTATTATAAAAGACCGAGGTGGCTACTTTAAGGAGGTTCTCTAAAGTACTATCTGGTTTTAGGTCCTGTATTTACAGCTTCCTCCTGATATCAGGGACTGCCTTAGTAATAAATTTATCCTTTAGGATTAGCTGTCCCTCAACTAAATCAGGAGATAGGAGAAGCGTGCTTTACCAAGGCCTCTCTCAGCCATTCCAGGAAGGCTAAGTGGCATTTTCATCAAATTCCTTGTCGATCATGGACAACATAGTATAATTGGGAGGCTTTGACTTAGTCCTACACAAGCCCTCTATTAGGCACACCTAAGCCTTCTCCTCTTCCAGTCTTCCACCTCATCGCTGGGATCTCATTTAGGGTCATACACTGGTACTGCCTCTCTTCCAGTTGGATAATATTCGCCCCTTTCCCTGACACTATATGTGATACAAAGCTCATCCCCAAATCTCTCTGCTGCTGGCAAAGCAGCCTGCTTTTCAGTGTCCATCAGGGTCTGATTCAAAAGTAGCCTAACGTCTCTCCAGGAGAGTTCAAATTTTTGGGTGAAATTCTGGAAAACCTCTATATATCTATCAGGGTCATATGAAAATTTGCCAAGATTCTCCTTAATTTGCTTTAAGTTCTGTAGGGAGAAGGGGATCTGGACCTTACTGGATCCAAATTCACTAGGCATCTGTTGGAGGGGCAAGAGTGAGACCGGGGCTTGTTTAGAGCAAGGATTTCTAGGAGGGGACAAGTGAGAGGCTGAAGCTGGATAGGAAGGTGGGGGTGGACCTGGAGGAGCAGGGCTTGAGGGAGTTGGCTTCTCTGCTGGGGGTGCCTCTGGGTCTCAGATCTTTAATTTCCTGGGCTTAGTCCTTGCAGCCTTCCCTGAGACGGCAAACATGGAGGCTGGATCAATCCTACATTGTCGGCAGGGTCTGGATTGCATTGCAAGGTATAGAAAGCCTGCACATAGGGGACCTTAGACTATCTGTCCTCACATCTACAGAAAAGTTCCAGTTGCCAGATGGTATCGAAATGAATGGTCCCTTCCTGAGGCCAAGCCAGTCTTTCTTGTAAATCATAATTTCGCCAAACCTTTGTGCAGGGAGCTATGAGGCACTGTTCCTCCAGATTCTGAGGGTCAAAGCAGTCCCAGTGGTCCAGGATACACTCCAGAAGAGTATAAGCTGAGGATGGTGAAGAGAACTGGTTGCCCATTCTGAAAGACAGGGAATGGAGGCGTTCCTCATTTCCCTTCCGTCTTTCAGTGAAAACTCAGGATGTGATAGAGAAAGTGAGTGTCCTCCCTTCACTCTCCACCTCTTATCCCTGAGCCCCGGTGACCTTGGCAGGTGCTGGCCATAACTACAATCGCGGTATGTACCCATGAAGCAGGGAAAACCTGGAGAATAGGAATTATCTGCCCTCACCTATGCCTTCCTTTTTCCCTGCTGTCAGCAATCTTTGAGTTCCCTGGGCCTGTTTGTTTATGCCATGAGACATGGCCTCCTTCTGTGGGGTGGGAGCAGGAATTGGTCCTGCCCATTTACACTGTGCCTGTTGCCTGGTTTTGGATCCTCGGACCTGGTTTTTCTTTCTAGGACTTCAGCCTGAAGCTTGGAATTGAGTTTGGGACTGAAAAGATATTTAGAGGCTGTTTGTATCTGTTTAGAGTGTCTCAAATAGCTCTGCCGAATTTGCAGTTCTCAGCCAGCAGGGGTCATTCCTCCGTTAACTTTCTTATCAGAAACAGAGTTGGGAGGGGAGCCCTCTCACATAGAAAAGGGAAAAAGAGAAAAACAGTTTAAAGGCTAAAAGGGGGAGATTCTAGGGAAAGAACCCCTTGCTTAGTGCAACTGGATTTCTCTAATTCTTGTATCTGTACTGTCGTTCAGACTGGGTCGAATTCCTTGGCCAAAGGAGAAATATTCCATTGGTGCAGCAGGCAGGAAGCGCCCATTTGTTGGCCCTTTGGGGTCCTGGCTGCCGCTGGTTTTCTCCCACTCCCCCTTGTGACTGCTAGGTTCGGTCTTTGCCTGCTGCAGGCATGCCCAGGTGCCTGAGCTGCGAGGGGTAAGAATAAGGAGAGGTGCCCTGAGCATCCGTGCCTGTGGCTGTCAAGGTGGAGGCATACATGCCACCTCTAGGAAAAACTGGTCTGGTCTGCACCTTTGGTGGCTGAGCCAAATGCTCATTTTACTTAGTAACATTGAGGCAGCCTGTAGCAAAACTCTTAACATTATGAAGAAAGAGATAAGAACCATTTTAAACTGTGAGAGAGAGAAAAGGGACAAAGTCTAGGGGTTTTGACTGGCCCAGTTAGGGCGGTTTAAAACTTCATGAGGGAAACAGAGCCTCTGACCTACAGGAAAGAGAGAAAGGTGGCAGTGTTTTGGAAGAGAGGCAGACCCGACAGTTTCACATTTGCTCACACTAACCTTCCGCAACCCTGGATGAGCCCCCAGTTGAAACGGGAAAAGTTCTCTTGTTCCCGTCACAGGGCATGTGATGGGGGTGTGTCTCACTTCTTCAGAGCCCTACTGCTCAGACCTCTAGGGGAACATACAGACAGGCAGGTTGTGGGGCTCCGACCCCATGGCAGTGTCTAGGGGTGAATGTTTACAGCTGAAGCCCCAGTGGGCATGTGTTACAGAGGGCTCTTTTAGTTTTGCCATCTGTAGGCAGCTTGTGTTAGCTCAATCAGACCCCTACCTTATCACAAGGACAGAGAGCTTTCTGCATCCTGGGTTCTTTCCTTGGTGTACTTGAAGAATCGGATTACACATGGGCTTAGAGAATGAGTGCAAGGTTTTATTGAGTGGAAGTAGCTCTCAGCAGATGAGGGAGCCAGAAGGGAGATGGTTTTCCACTGGAGCTGGGTCACTTGGAGGCCTGGGCTCTCCTACTGCCCTAGCCAGACTCCACGTTGTTCTGCTGGTCAGTGGCCTGTGGGTGCACTGGTGCCTGTTGGTGTGCTCCTCCGCTGGTGCGCTCCTCTCGATGTCCAGCTGCCTGTGTGTCTGACTGCTAGGGTCTCTGGGTTTTTGTAAGTACAGGATGGGGGCGTGGCAGTCAGGGTAGTCTTGGGAAATGCAACATTTGGGCAGGAAAACAAAAATGCCTGTCTTCACCTAGATCCATGGGCATAGGCCTGGGGGTGGAGCCCTAGCCAGAGACCATGCCCTCCTCCACACAGCACTTCCCTTCCCCACTTTCATATCATTTAAAGGGACCACACCCCTCCCAGCACTTCCATATCAATGTTATAAAATACATATAGATAGTAAAATGGTTACTATAGTGAAGTAGATTAAAATGTCTATCATCTCTTGTAGTTTTGTGTGTGTAATAAGAACAGCTAAAATCGACTTATTTAACAAAAATCCCTAATACTATATAATCTTTAGTCCTTATGATGTATATCGGAGCTTCAAATTTTGCCTTTTTATTTTCTTCACTATGTGTTTTAAGAGCAGAAGTTCTAACTTTAATGAAGTTCAGTTTATCAGTTTTTGCATATGATTAGTGCTTTTTGTATCCTAAGCAATCTTTGCTTATCCCTGAGTTGTGAGGGTTTTCTGCTATAATTTTCTTTTGGAGATTTTCTAGTTTTAGCTTTTATTTGAGTCTCTGACCATTTTGAATTAATTTTTGTGTATGGTATATGATAAGACTTGAGGTACATATTTTTCAGTATAAATATCCGGTTGTTATAGCACCATTTATTGGGAAGATTATCCTTCTCCCTTGAATTATCTTGGCATCTTTGTCAAAAATCAGTTCTCTCTCTCTCTCTCTCTCTCTCTCTATATATATATATATATATATATATATGCAGGTCTATTTCTAGACTTTCTTCTGTTCCACTGATTTATGTCTATTCTTAAGCAACTGTTGTTTTCTTTTGAGCCTTAACTTGTTCTTGATTTGAGTTTCAAAAAGAAATCATTTACTTTTTTTAATTGCAAACTTTCTGTAGGTAGCTCTCATACATACATGAGTATTTTTTTATTAACAGGTATAGATATATTGAATAACCAAATGTAATGTAGATGTTTTTGCCACTGTGATTTCTGCCAAAATCAACATCCTTTTATTCTCTACTCTCAACATAGAGTTTTGGCATTTCAACAGCAGTAGTAATTATATCTACAAATCCTTATGCAATGCTGTATCTCAAGCCTTCTGGAAGTACAAGTTGATTATGTCTGGGTTTTCACACTTGTCACTTCTCATAGCTGCTTTTTCCAAGATGTTAATTAATTAAGCATTTTTTTTCCTTTTGTACATCAAACTCTATGCTGTTCTCTATATTCTTCCTTTAAGCAATGAACTTAGACTCTCCCATATCAAAACAAAATTCATTTTATAGGTTTCAAATTTCTCAGTTATTTCTTTGCCCCTTCCTTTAATCCCGTCTCAATATAATGAGTTTTCTTCTTATCAAGGTTTTTGTTTTGTTTTGTTTTACATTTCTTATGTCAAAGAAATTCAGAGCTATATTTCTGATTATTTATATTTTACCTGTAATTAAAATGTATTTCAAGTAGTTTTATTTTCTACAGATAACTGTTACTCAATTCCTGCAGATTTCAAAATTATCTTTATAAATCTGTTTTCTGAGACCATATGTCCTCGGCTTAAGAAATAGGTCTCAATACTGAGCTTAGGCAGGGGAAGGATGTTAGGTCATTGTTTCATAGGGCTATTTTTTGTTTTTGTTTTTTAGTTCATTGAGCTTTCTTCCTTCTCATAAAATAACATGTATTCCTTATTATCAAAATCGCTTACAATCCCCACTCAAAGGCCATCATCACAAATATTTTGGTGTGTATGCTATTTTTAAAAAAGTTTTCTAAAAATAATTTTAAAAATTTGAGTAGTACTTTGGAAAGACACTCAATAAACACTCTTAAATAAGCGAATATGTGTTTTTAGAGTAAAGTGTTTTGCTGGGCAACCTGCAGAAGGCCTATTTGAAGCCGGTATGGTGGTAGAATCAGGGCCATTTGGACTATTGGCAGAGTAAAAGGGGAGCATGTAAGTTGTACAGGGCCTATTCTCTGCTGATTGCACCTTTCCTTAATATTCTGTGGATATCAAGAACATTATAGTAATTATACTTAGCATATACTTAGCATATAGTAGATAATTAATACATGTTAAATTCTTTTAGTAATTTATATATGCTTTATTCATACTTTTTTTCTTTTTCCTTTTTGTTAGACACCAAGAAACAATTTATTTAGTTTGAATATTTCCTTGATTTTTAGGCTATCTTTTCCTAATATCAAGTGACATTAGCTGTCTCTAGTTATTTGCATTATTCCATCAGAACAACGTGGTCAGATGAGGATGTGTCTATGGCAGGTGTTGTTAGGCAATAGTTAATGAACACCTAGCAAAGAATGATTATATCTTTAAAAATTCTAAATTGTACATTAACTATTGAATAAATAACAATGATATATAGAAGGTATAAAGAATAATAACATAGTGAATACTGGTACACTTACTTGTCAGCTCGAAAATATAACACTACAATTGCCCTAGTACCTACCACTTTAGAAGACAACTGTGTGTCCCATTCTCCTTTCCAGGGGAAACTTGATCCTGATAGCTTTCATGGCTATGTTTTCCCTCTTTATTTTACTGTATGTACTTGGACACCTAAATATTGTTTTATTTCAACATGTTTTTAAGTTTTAGAAAATGGAATCATACTGCTTAAGTCACTTTTTTTGCTCAGCATTGTATGTGAGATTCATTCATGTGTAATTGTTATTCATCTACTATATTTGGTTAGACTACCATTCAGCTATTACTGTTACATAGTATTCTGTTGTGTGAATGTTCCACAATTTATTCAACCATTTTTCTTTTAATGGAATTTTAGATTGTTTTTAGCTTTTAGCTATTAAAAATCAAGGCTGTTAATGTTATCGTGTAGGTCTCCAGGACTGTGTTGTAAGAGTTTATTTTATAAAGAAGATACTAACCATTTTATATAATGAACTCCTTGGGGATTTTTTTTTTTTTAATATTATGGGATTCTTCTCAAATTAAGGTTTTCAAATGCATGCAATAAAACACATAGGATTATAGCCGGGCGCGGTGGCTCACGCCTGTAATCCCAGCACTTTGGGAGGCCGAGGCGGGTGGATCACGAGGTCAAGAGATCGAGACCATCCTGGTCAACACGGTGAAACCCCGTCTCTA